AAGAAGGGTTAAGACTTGGAAACCATCCACAGCCCAGCAACAAGTGACTGCAAGTCCCAAAGCACATTTTGGCCTCAACATCAGAGAAAGAGTGATTGCACAATAAGTGTGTATTATCATGCCAAAATTTTGTATTCTTCTCTTACAGTAACCTGATAATGAAACATTCACTGTAAACAAAAAGGTGAAATAGTGTTTATATTAGTTCTTAATTTTGGGGAGTTTATTAGGAATGATAAACACAGCATATCGACAATGAATTTCATCATCTGATGTAATGCCCTAGATCTTCATGGACTATAGTGATAAAGAGCAAATGCTGACCTAAAATAGCTGCTTTGATCTCCTGATCATAGGTTGAGGTCAATTCATATGGAATACACAAAACAGTTACACTGTAATTACCATTTCATCAAAGAAATCAAAGCAAAACCAGATAACTAAATCAGCATTAAGAAATTCACATTTTCAATGTAATTGTGTGATACATTCACACACTGGGAGATGAAAGGTTACCCAAAAACTATTCACCTTAGAAAGATAATGGAGTTACACTTGGAATACACAAAGGAATCATTGGCTGGATTTTGTGAGGAGATTCTGATTAGGGCTCCTTCAGAAATGCAAAGTTGTACCTCCATTCTGACAGGTCTTTGGTTGCGCAGAACTGTCAGAAGGTAAACCAATGCCTCCTTTCACAGCAGTCAGCTACTGTATTCTCTAATTTAAAGGTGTCAACAGCCCACTTTGCCAACTTCTGTCAAAGGGTTACGTGTGATGTTAGGGTGCTGGGAGGCTAGTATGTCAGATTGGCTGGGAGGTAGGGTGCCAGGTAAATAGGATGTCACGAGTAAGGGATTGGTTGCTAGGAGGAGTGGGTTCCAGGGTGCAATTTGGCAAGAGGTCAACTAAGTGATGCAGTGTTTAGGGTCTGTCAGGATGGGCAGGACATGTCAGGTTCAGTGGGAGACTATGAGGATTGGTGTCACATCCAGGAGCTATTGGGTTGGGTTCCGCAGCATGGGTTTGGGCCAGGTCTGGGAGATAGGGGAATCAGGGACGAACCCTGCCCATCCTGATTTGGAAACATACCCCATTCAAAACGTTAACTCTGATTTCTCTTCACAGATGCTGCCAGAGCTACTGAGCTTCTCCAGCAATCTCTGTTTTTGTTTCTGGAAACATATCCTCGCTGTTCCTTCATGGTCACTAGTTCAAAATCACGGGACTCCCTCCCCAGCACCACTATGCTTGTATCTACATCAAATTGGCCACACCAGTTCAGGAAGGCAACTCACCACTAACTTCAATAGCAACTAGGGTAATGGGGACTAAATACTGGCCCCTTCAATGGATCCACCCACTCTCCCAATCAAACAAAGAAAATCATTGAATCAAGTGTGCAGCAACAAAGCAACATGGAAAAGGAACTGTTCAGTGAATTCCAGGACGCTACAAATTTCAAAATAGCCATGGAGTCAGATTTCACTCCCACAACTCAAGGCTTCTAAGAAGTTCAAACTGTACCTGATTCTACTTCCCCGTCTGCACTAGGCAACATTCCCCATCCCCCCGCTGCATTTTTAAACTTATTACCCGAGTTTGAATGCATCTTGGGTGTCACATTTTAACTGAGAGGAAAAAAAGTAACAAAATCCTTTTTTCACTTAAGAAAAGCTCAGAATTTGCTCCTTCATTTTGGTCACCTACATTCTAATTGATGTTTGATAAGTGTGTGTGCCAAAAGAAAAATAATGATTGTGACTGACTGAGAGGTGGTTTACAAAGAGGGGAACTTATTTCCACTCTGCACTTGTCGCAACATCATCAAAGACATCCACTCTGATTTCCTCTCCTTGTTATCTTCCGGTTCTTGTTAATATATTTGAGGTTTTAATCTAATTTCTTCTTCAATAATTGTGGCAGTCTACTCCATATTTTAGGAAATATGTGCATGAAAAAGAATTCTGGCCCACCAATTTATGCTTCAGGTGTTAGTCACAATTACATGGCCTTTTATTATCAATTCTCTGACTACAAGAACTGACGTTTCACTGTTTGATCTACTTGGTCCAAATTACATAATCCTTGCTTTCCTACACATGTCAAAATAACTGTAGCCTCTTACCCTTGGTATTATTTTAGTGAATCTGCATTGCTCCTCCATCTTTTCTTCAAATTCATTTCTATAATGGCATGTTTTAAATTGCATGAAATCTGACTAATTAATACTAAATAATATTTTGAAGATTCATCAACTCACTGTTTTTACGTTTAATGTCCCAGTATATAACATGCAAATGCATTATTATTTTTGCCTTTTATACCCTCATTTCTATTTTCAAACCTCAACATATTTGCATTCAGATGTTTTAACCTGATCAAGCAAGTGATGGATTAAGTTAAATTTTGTTTAATTATAGTTAGTTGGAAAACTTTGTCTTTTTTGTGCAAGGAATAAATCCATATGGCTCAGTTCAAAACTAAAGTTGTTGGTTTATGCTTGTTGTTGTTTTATGGCTCAAATTAATGTAAACTTTGGCGAACATGTGAAACTGGTTTAAGGTAAATGTTTTTTTACATGGATATACATTAACATTGGAATTCACTTCTACTGAGAGTTTTGTAAAATTGTATTTGATTCGATCTTTTTAGATATATCAATTGGGACATTTGGGATTGAAGTAAATCATTAGAAGGTGACATTACATACTCTGAGCAGATACAAGTGGCCTCATTTGTACTGCTTCATCTTGGCAAAGATCTATGGATTTGGTAAAAATAAGAGAGACACCTTGTTACAAAGGGATATCAATGAACTAATCAGGAAACAGTAGGAAATAACATGAAGATAACAACTACTTTTAAAGAAGCCAATGAGGAATTGGGAACATTTTGATTAGCCTACCCGACACTACTCATGAACTTTTCATGCACTTAATAAGCCAATTAGAGATTAGGATGCTACTGATCATCCACTCGTGGTGGTGGCTATGAAGGATTAACAGGACCTGGGTTTTAGTGGTTTGATAAACAAGGAGGAATACCGAAGATCGAAGAATTTGAGTCAACAGAACAGACCAGACCAAGAGACCTGTACCTAGTCATCAAATGTTGTGAATTGGTATTGTGAAGTGGATGTACTGGAAAACATTGCTTTTAGTAAGCATCATTTCTTCTATACTAGTTCTAATTAACAATAATTTCTACAGAACTTGTGAAAATATAGTTGTGCCTAGAATGGGTCTTGATTGACTCTTTCGACTCAGTCTGTAATTGACTTGGGTCTTAAAACTACAGTAAAGGGAATCAAAAACCTTACAAAACAGTTAAACTCGAAAAGAGAGGCAAGTGTGACTGCTCTTACTATAAAAGCAGTCAAAGGGAATCAGGGCGAAAACTCAGGGTGGAATTATACAAAGGAAGACGGTTGTGGTTGTTGGAGATCACTCATTTCGGCTGTGAGAAACCACTGCAGGCCAGTGTACCAAGCCCAAGCATCATTGGCTTCATTAATGACCTTCTTTCTATCAAATGATCCGAAATAGAATGTTCATGAATGACTGCACAATGTTCAATGCTATTCTCAACTCCTTGCATACTGAAGAAATTCATGTACATATGCAGCAAGACTTGGACAACATTCAGGCTTGGGCTGATAAAATGAAAAGTAATATCTGGATCACACAAATGCCAGGCAAGAACCATCTTCAATAAGATTGAGTCACTTACATAGTCCCTTGATGTTCATTACTGCAACTGAATCCCCTATGATCAACATTGTGGGAGTTACCATTGAACAAAAACTGAGCTGGACTAGTCATATAAATATTGTGGCCTCAAGAATGGGTCAGAGGTTAGGAATTCTCTGGAGAGTAACTCACCTTTTGTTTTCCCAAATCCACAAGCTATGTGACAAATTTCTCCACATACCTAGATGAATGTAGCTCCAACAACCTTGAAGCCTGACACCATCCAGGGCAAAGCGTCCAGTCTGATTGGCACCACATCAACCATCTTCAACACTTGCTCCCTTCTCTGCTGACTCAGTGACAGACTTTGCACCATCTACAAGACACACTGCTGTATCTCCCCAAGGATCCTCTAACAGTACCTTCCAAATTAACTACCTCTACACCTAAAAGAAAATACAACTGCAGTAGAGACACATGGAAACACCTCCAAGCTGTCATCCTGGCTTTAAACGACACTGGCTCACTACAGCTGGATCAAATTATTAAACTCCCTAAAAGCACTGTGGGTGTACCTACACCAGTGGTTCAAGATAGTTGCTCATTACCACCTTCTCAAGGGCATCTTGAAATTGGCAACAAATGCCCCTCCAGTATCACCCCACATGCTGCAAGTGAATAAACAGAAACATGTGTGAAGCCATGTGGTTACACAGGCATGCTCATGCAGAAACTCAAACACATAACCTTCACAGAATAACCATGCCAATCTAAGTGGCAATAACTCATTTCAGTGGAATAATGAGTTAAGCTTATTAAGTGGCTTCTGTGGAATAGCTTATTATGGTGATTATGTGTTATATAATACCACTGATTTCTTTAAAAATGAAAATTGGACAGCTTCTATGATTGATAACTCATGTGCAAAACTCCTGACATCAGGTAACAAGTTGAATATTTATCCCACTATCCTGGCATGATTTTTCTTGTCTGTAGCATGATTGTAATTGTACATACAAAATGAATAAATATTTTAAAAATTATGAATTAAATTAACATTCGACCCAATCCAAAGTTCCCTGACACCAGAAAGAATTCTCATAGCACCCTTATACATCCAGGTGTAGTATTGTTCATTTCTCAATGTGTTTTCTTTGACTTCTAGTTACTTTTACAAATCCAATAAATATCAAGCTTTAAGTAAGAAAGCTCCACTGTTACTGCAAGACATGATAGATGGGTAGATTTTTTCCTGTAATATTTTGGTGCAACTGTATACACATATAATATAAGTGTCTCTGTACTTACAGCTTTGTATCTGACCAAATAATGGCGGATAGGGGAACCACCGTCATCCTGCTTGATCCAGTTTACTTTGAAAACATTCCCACTTCCGAGCACTTTTCCTTCAAGTTTTGGTGGACTTGGTTCTCCTACAAGTTAATGTTGGTAATACCACATTTTTTATCCAAAAGTCTAAAAATTGTCATCAAGTAACATCACTGCATTTACTCAGAAGACATCATTAGCTTTATGTTCATTAATTTTTTAAAGACATTTCATGATTCTCGCAAAAAAAGTGTTTGGTTTTGGATTCAAATAACCTACTGAGAACAGAACTGCATTGAAATGATTTGTAGTGATTGCGTTTGTTACATTGTAGTAATTGTTTTATTTAATTATTTATGTATAACAAAATAAACGCACTTCAGACAATGCCTTGATCGGAGGTTTTGTTTAATGCAAAGTGGTCAAAGTTACCTAGTTAAGTCTAAGCTTTCAAGTTTCTATTTGTTAAATTTGAAAAGTACTTGACATTGAATTCTGCAGTTCTCAGCTGATAATGTAATATTTGAGGAGACTTCGACATGAAATTGACTTTCTGCCATTCACACTAACATACGTCTGTTTCAGGCTATATGCAAATAGATCCAGGATGAACTGTTCAAAGTGACAGCTAGTTGATTGCTGGAAAGGTCATACTTTGGGTTTATGTGGTACATGTAAATTCAAAAACGTCCAGTCATTAGGTAATACTAGAACTTCTTACTTCAACATCTCAGGGCTGCTAAAACTGCGGGGATTTCTCTGACTGTTAGCCACTGAATATTTTTGCCATTATTTTTTAATTAAAGTCAGGAAAATAATGATTATACTTTTGTTTTATTACATTCTGCCGCTATCAGATGCATCATTCAGGATTTCAGACTAAAATGAAGGCAGGAAGAAATGGTCTGCAGCCATAACTTTTCATATGATCTAGTAAGAAATGTTACATTTGACACTGCTGTGTAAAATTGATTTTAAGTGTTATATTTTAAAGGGGGAGCAATGAAATCTTGAAAGCTGTCCTTCAAGTGGAAGAAATCAGATTGAAACCCAAGTAAAGAGAATGCAAAAAATTTCTACTTGACTGCAAATTGAACTGAAATAAGAGAAAGAAAAAACCTGATTTTTATTTTACTTTTTGTTTCTCAAGTTTTGCACCAAGTGTAATTACAACACATTTAATCAAAAGGAGCATCTATTCTCCAGTATCTCAAAAACCCAAAAGGACAACAGAACACCCATAAATGATCAAACACTGCTGGCAAAGGTCAGAGGAAACTGAAAGCCATGTTTTTATTTAGGAAATACCCTTTAATGCTCTGGATTGCAATATCAAAATAATATTAAAGAATTGAAACAATAATGCAGTTCTGCTCAACCAGATAGTTATGTGGAATGGTGGCTCTTGTAAGGAGACCAGTTATTATATAGATTTTTATAAATTAATATAGATTTATAAACTAAAAATTTTTAAGTGACAACTTCAAAGTTTCATGTGAGAAATGGAATTAAGTTATAGTTCCATGGATGAACTTGATGGTAAAACAGCTCTGATTTTTTTTTTCCCTGAATGCCTGATTTTCCAAATCAACTGCTCTCTCCCGTGCTGTCTTTTGCAACCTGCCTGCCAAGACTACTAAGAATGGGTGACAGCTTGGCTTCGAATCGGCCTACAAATGACCCTCTTTTTCTTTCTACTCAAGACAAAGCTCTTTTATTCTGTTTCTACCTTATGATGGTTCAGCAGCTGTGATATAGACAGGAGACAGACTGATATGGCAAGAATGCCAAAAATAGGTTCAACAACTGCATTATCTGTAGATAACAACCTCATAGCTCTTCAAAGAGGTACAATTAAAAAAAATGACACTGAGCCAAAAGAGGGGATATCATAAAGGGTGTGTGGAGGGAATGGGGATGAGTTAAGGAGAGACTTAAAAAAGGATGGAAGCTTGAGAGGTTCAGGGCAAGACGCTTTGATTACCAGATGCATAAAAAGCAATGGTAAAAAGTGAAGGGAGGGGAGAATGCATATAATCAGTGGAAAGGATTGCTAAAGGTGGGAGGGATGACATGGATTCCATTCAGGTGCTGCAACATTTGTTGAGAATTAGGTTTTCTTTCTGTACGCCAGTCATGGTTTTATTCACTTGTCGTCAATCTATCCATTCACGGTTTTTAATGATGTTATTTGCAGATTGTATTGCATACAGAAGACGCAGAACACAGCAATAAATTTGATCGTAAGAGTGCATTCAATAAAGAAATGAATATAAGGCTGTTACGACTTCACTGAGTCTCCAGTATAAGAGTCACCACCAAGCATTCATTCTGTTGTTAGTGCCTGCCTTGAGTTAGACTATTGGGGTAATCATGCTTATAAAATATTATACTTTCATGAACATATTCATTTCAAGCTACGAATAGATATTGGTTAACGTATCAAAGAATAGTTTTGCAATTGAAATAAACAGTTATGCTGTAACTTAACAGGTTAGTGACATTCCAAAGGAAGAAACAGAAAAACAGCTGCTCCTTTTGAAGGCTGATTCCAAATGGTACACAATCCAATCACTAAGTGTAGGTTACTCCTTTTTCTGGGCAAAATAAAGAAGTTAAAGAAGAAAGAAGCACCAACACAAACCATGCTTGGTCATGCAACAATATTCCGGACATCATATTGGCAAGGATTATGTGACTATGTGATTTTCTGGCTCTAAATGAAGAAAAAGACCCAGTTAGCATGCATATGGCAGTGCCATTTACACCAAGTGTCTTTTCATATTCACCAAAAACTATTTGCTTAATGTGCAGATATTAAGAAAATAATTTTGGCTTGGCATTCTGCTGGTTTTTAATCAAATCCCATGGACTGGCAGTGGGATAAATACAATTCATTGATCTATGGAATGGTATTGCAATATTTTATCAAGAGGAACATCCAATTTCTCTCAGGTACCAGCCTTTAATTTGACGAAGCATACTGTAGCATCATGGCACCTATCATAAAGCTCAAAAAGCTGTCCTTCACGCAGGTCACAGACCTGAAACTTTAACTCTGCTCTCATTGTTTCACTACAGATTCTGCCAAATCTGCTGAACATTTCCAGCACTTCCTGTTTTATTTCAGATTTCCAGCAGCTGTATCTCCTCCATTCTGCCAAGAGTCAACACACACAGTGTAAATGGTACTAAAAGATTCAAAGAAAACACCTAGATGAAAAAAAAAAGTTGTGATTGTTTGCTGAGCAAAAGAATCAGTTATCATTGATTAAATGTAAAAGGAAGAAATGAAAGACACACACGTGAAATATCCAGGGCAAAACCAGCCTGCATTTGCTACACAAATGGCATGCATGCGGATGGTGGGGAAGAATACAAATCTCAGCCTCTTTTTGTCCTTCAGGATGTCGCCCAATAGGCTTCAGGAGGGGAACAGAACTACTTGCGACATGCAACAATGTTTGTGAGTTACAAGTGTTAGTCTTGATCTGTGCTCTAACCTGCCTAAATGCTTCCCTCTTAAAAACCAAAAGAGAAGATTAGAAAAGGAAAACCAATACTATCTTCCACCAAGATTAAGAAGAGTACAAAAATTATATTTAGGCAACAATTGTTATGAGTATTTTTAAAATTTTAGCAGGGAAGCAATGCAGAAAAGAAAATCATACATACAGCTTATGGCAGGTGTTGGTGTTAGTAATATTAATGTATCACTCACATTTTAACCTATATACTTGGCACCAGTACACAAGCTTTGTTTCATTTTGTGAAAATTCAAACAGCACAAGATCAACAGTTTGCTTGAAATGACAACAAAGTTGAATTTTTTTGTGAAAACACTAAGCAGTCAGCAGGGCAGAGATCTCATTAAGATCAGATTATTGTTGTTTATGTTTTAAACCCTATCACATGGATAAAAAAAACTCAGTGACTTCAATATATCATCAGTGTTTTAAGCAAAATTTTACAGGGGCAGCACATCACTAAATTAATACGAGATATCCACTTTAATTTAACTATCATGATCATCTTCATTCTTGTACTTCTTCTAAACAAGCTTGCTTAAGACTACATTTGTTTTAGGTCTCTTAGTATTTAATTTCAGATAATTTTTACTATTTAAGAACTTTGTATTCTACAGATATTACAAAATCTATTTACTAATACTGAAATCTGCATAAGTGCATGAAAAAATTTAGAAAATGAAAGTTATGACAGGTAACTCTTCAAAAATTACATCTGATATCTACATCTACATTAGCATATCAAGGAATACGTGATAAAAGAAAGTAAATAATACAATCATGGCTGCCTTATTGTACATGACTTGCAGTTAATTTTTATGAATCAACTACAATTCAACCATGTAGTAGAGATTCATTTTAATACAACTAACTGGCAAAAAATATTATAATCTTTGATTAGACCTTAAATTGCCAACTGATTCCAGAAAATTCCAGTCTTCTGTCAATTAGTTTTGTTAATTATCAGCTTTGAAATTCCTTATACTGTGTGGATGAAGACTTGACAGGGTTGGGGAGGGCATCAAAGGTAAGCTGGATTCTGTTCTCATCTGATATTTACTCAAGTACTTCCAACGTAGTGACTAAAGTTTCCTCTCACTATTCCAGGAAGAGATCAAATGAAAAGCATTTTTTGCCATCAGGGCTAAAGTGAGATAAGACAACATAGAACAGTTCAAATCCAAGTCTCTGTAAGTTGGTGCGGTTTAGCTGCTGATAATTTCACTAAGTCTTTGGTGGAAATTCAAAAATACAACTTTAAATAGAAACAAAACCAATTAAATGCTCCTGCTTGTCTTGTTACACTTTGTCCACCACATCATTCAACCTCTCCCTGCATTTATTCCCACTGTCATTATGTTTTTACTTATTTACCCCCAACATAATACATTTTACCTATTTAAAAGCTTTTCTTTTCCTTTTTTAAATGACTGTGGGTGTTACTTTCCTATGCTCCAACTAACTTTTAGTTTGGAGTCTTGAAATATAAACTATGTCATTCAATACCAATTAGCTGCAAAGGCTTGTTTTAAAGCAAACCAGTACCCAATATTAAAAACTGATACAGTCACATTGCA